AAGAGAGGCAGGAAGCCACCACAAATTCTCAGGCTTTCCAACCATGATAGCAGTCAGACATCTTGACTACTGTAATAAATAATACACTGAACTTGGGAGTGCTGGTAGTACTTCAGGGTCCTGGGTTCATTTTTTTTGAGCTATATATCGTAAGTGGGATCTCTAAAACATGTTACAGCTTGGTTTGTAATTATTTTGAGGATCCTCCCTATTGTTTCTCAAAGGTTTTACTAATTCACATACCCATCAGTAGTATATAAGGGCTCCATTTTTCTTAGCCCCCTGGAAAACATTTGTTATTATCTGGATTTTAAATAATAAACACTTCAATAGGTGTGAGGCAGTATATCACTGTAGCTTTGATATGCACTGTCTTCATGATAAGTGATGTTGAACACTTATTCATATACTTGGTGATCATTTGTATGACATCTTTGGAGAAATGTGTATTCAAGTCCTTTGCCTATTTCTAATCAGACCACTTATTTATTTTGTTACTGAGTTGCAAAAGATTCTTAGATTGTTTTACATATTAACTTCTCAGATAAATGATTTGCACACATTTTACCTACTCTGTTGACTTCCTTTTTGTTCTTTGCATTGTTTTCTTTATGAGGCAGGAGTTTTTTAGTTTGATATAGTTTCACTTGTCTATTTTTGCTTTCTACTTATAGAATTAGAAAATAGAATTATTTTGCAAGGGGTTACAGGTATAGGCATTGTTGTTCATGGGTATCATGTTTTAGTTGTACAAGATCTATATTTTCCAGAAATCTGTATAACACAGAGTCTGTAGTTAACAAGATGTTACAATTGTACAGTTTGAAATATTAGAGGATAATTCTCAGACTTCACGTTGTGTTTCTAGTACACACACACACACACACACACACACACACACACACACGTACACAAGAACCTTCAAAAGAGCACAAAGACAACTTTTGTATATGACCGGTATGGTTAGTACTTTGATAGTGGTGATGGTATCAAACATGTATACCTTTGCAAAATCATAAAAAGATAGAAAATATGTACAACTCAACGAAGCTTAATTTTAACTATAACTTAGACCACCCCATCCACTCAAGAAACTTATTCAAGTGAGAGTCAGAAAAAAATAGTTATCCAGACAGCCTTGAATCTTCTCTAATTTGTAAAAGTAATATGTATTTTTGACCATTCAAAACTTTTTTTTTTTGTCGGTCATGAGGCTTGAACTCTGGGCCTGAGCACTGCCCCTCAGCTCTTCAGCTTGAGATACAGGGCCACTTCCAGTTTTCTGGTGGTTTACTGGAGATAAGAGTTTCACAGACTTTGAACCGTGAGCCTCAGATTTCAGCCTCTGAGTAGCTAGGATTACAGGTGTGAGCCACTGGCACCTGGCTACCATGCAAAACTTTTAAGTGACTTGTCAGCCATGGCAAATTCTTTGTTACATAACTCATAACTTAGCACACTGGGATTAACTTCCCAGATCTGAGCCTGAGAATGTGAAGATCAAAAGGGTGGTAGTTTAAGGAAAGTTAAGGCAAAATATTTATACCCCATCTCAATAATAATAATAATAAAAAGGTTAAGAGTGGTAGGTAAACCCAGTTACAGAGACTTATTTAGGAAGATTACAATCTAGTCTGCCCACAGCAAAAACAAAACAAAACCTACAACAGATCATAAAATAAGGAAAGCAAAAAGGGCTGGAGGTGTGGCTGAAAAGGTAGCAAGTATGAGGTCCTGAGTTCAAACCCCAGCACCACTAAAAAGAAAAAGAATACAAATGTGACACTACTGCCAAGCCAGTATATCATAGCTGTCCCTATACACACCTGCTAACATCAGTTAGGTGGACATTTCCATTAAGTTATACAACCATATTGAAACATTCTAATATTTAGATTTTCTTTTCTTTGACCAGTCCTAGTGCTTGAACTCAGAGCCTGGGCACTGTCCCTGAGCTTTTGTGCTCAAAGTTAATGCTCTCCTACTTGAGCCACAGTTCTACTTCTGGCCTGGCCTGGTTTTTTGGGTGTTTGTTTTGTAGTTAATTGAGTGTCACGGACTCCTTTTCCTTGGCTGGTTTCTAACTGTGATCCTCAGATTCAGCCTCCTAAGTGGCCTTGCTCCTCTGCAGTGAACAAAGACATTCTATTCATCTAGTAGCTAGGATTATAGGCATGAGCCACCAGTGCTTGGCAGGTTAGCTACTTATAGATAGAGGCAAACAGTAGTCAGTTTCTCTATTCAGGCAGAGATTTAGCCATCATTAAAAAATTAGAGTTTAATGAAATTTTACTGCTCCTTGGCGAATCTTGCAAGGCACTCAACATTATGACCAACAAGTTAGCACTATCTCCACAACAGAATTGAAAACACTGGCATGTTTCTGAAAGTTCCAAACGTATTAGTTCATTTAGATTTCACAAGAACTATTCCTCTCATAGCAAGTGAGGAAATTGCAGCTTAAAAGAAGTTAAGGGGCTCACCAAGCCCTCCCCAATGCCTAGCTTGTAGACCTGGCATTTGAGACCACTTGAATTGGCTGGCAGAACTCACATATACAACTTGCACTCTATTCAAGAATCCAGAACACTCCTACTGTCCAGGAAGAGCCAGAAGAGGTAGTTCACAAAACATGCAACATTCACATCATCATGTGAGCTTCTCGCTTCTTTTTTTTGGGGGGGGGGGGTGATGAGGGGGTCCGGTCGTGGGCCTGAACTCTGGGCCTGGGCGCTGTCCCTCAGCTCTTCAGCTCAAGGCTAGTGCTCTACCCCTTGAGCCACAGCGCCACTTCCAGCTTTTTTTTCTGCTTATGTAGTGCTGAGGAATCGAACCCAGGGCCTCATGCATGCAAGGCAAGCGCTCTACCACTGAGCCACCTTCCCAGCCTAGCTTCTCCCTTCTCTATGTTGCACATGAGCAACAAACAAAAGCATAGGACTGAAAGGAGCAAAGGGTGTAGTGAAGCTACTTTTACTACATGGGACAAAATGTGCCAAGAATTCAGATTAGTTCATCAAAAGGTCAAAAGGAAAAAAAAATTTGTCCTTTGAGAAAATAAAGATGAAGTGTGTTGGTTAGCCCCCTGGCTAAAGGATAATTAGAAGCACTCCTTCACAGCTAATTGATGAGTCCAGAGGTACTGGTTCCTGCCAGTCTCATGGCACTGGGGAAGCCTTCTGGAGAGCCAGCCTGGAGCAGGACACATAGAAGGCACCTGACACACAAGCAGGGACTGTTGTCAGCAATGTGACAACCACAGGGTTAACATCATTACACAAAGATCTAGAGTAGCCATCTTGACAACAAATCCATGAAGTACATATCATTACTTATCTCACAGATAGGGAAATAGGTGGAGAAGATTATGACCCGAAGTCTCAGCTGGTTAGGGGCAGGATTGAGATGGAGGTCTTCTGATGCCAGAACATCTGTCTATTGCCACGTTCCATCACACAGCCATTGCTATTCACTAGACGGACAGCAGAGCCTCAGGGTCTAGGAAGGGTGCTCTGACTCCACCATTAGCTGCTGGTCAAGCCACTTAACCTCTTTAATCCCCTCTTTTCCAAGGTGCAAAATGGGAAATACTGTAGTCATGCCTCATAGGGTTTTTGTGATAATTAACTGAGATTGAATGGATTCATGTAAGAGTAATCCCAAACATGTACAAATGTTAGTTTTGAGTTTTAGTCATTCACTTGTTAAGCAAACTCTGGTCAGGTATTTATTCTGAGTCTGATCTCTAAGGAACATTGTCCTGAGTATCTTTCTTAGAATTAGGGCATGTTAGGGGTTTCATAATGGTATTTTATAGTGATATTTTTATACCTGCATAGAACATATTTTGATCAAATTTATTCTATTACCCTTTCTCATCCCCCTCCTCCTTTTAAAACAACTTTAATAGGTTCCATTATTCTTTTTTCATACATTCATGTAAATACTTCAATAATATTCACCCCCTCTTCATCCTCCCCTTCCCCTCTCCCTTCCTACCAGTTCTAGGAAACTGCAGTCCTGTTTAGACTTAAAATTGGAAAGTTTATCTGTAAGAATGAAATAACAGCCAGGTGCTGGTGGATCACGCCTGTAATCATAGCTACTTAGGAGGCTGAGATCTGAGGATCATGGTTCAAAGCCAGCCCAGTCAGGAAAGTCTGTGAAACTCCTATCTCCAATTAACCACCAGAAAACCAGAAGTGGCGCTGTGGCTGAAGATGTAGAGCACTGGCCTTGAACTGAAGAGCTTGGGAACAGTGCCCAGGCCCAGAGTTCAAGCCCCACAACTGGCAAAAAAATGAAATAACAATACCCCAACTTGTTGTTGAAAGTGTTAATACACAAAACTGCTTAGCATATAACAAGTGTTTTTTAATGTTCTTTAAAACTTTTCAATCATATACAAAATGAAGAGATGAAAGGAGCAGATAGTTTTGTCAGATAGGATTTTGGTGCCTAAGTTGAGGCAGGATTTCCTGCCTCACTCAAGTGACAGATGCTTCTATAACCAGATTTCTACACAGTTTATTTCCGTCAAAAAGACCCTAAAGATTCACAAGTGGTCAAAGTTAAAGGTCAAAACAAAAATCTTTTGTAAATTCAGCTGCCCAATCTTAAGGCAACTCAACCATCTCATTGATATTAGTGATAAAAGTTCTCATCTAAAATTCTGTGAGTCTGAGAATTTGCTAAATTGTATCCTCCCCACCAAAAGCAAACTATGTTCTTGGGCAACATGCAGAAATGGGAGACTGAGTCCATTAAGCCTTACTTCAGAACCAAGTACCCAACTTTGATGTTTTCAAAGTTTTTTTGTGTGTGTTGTAGCATTGATCAGTATTAATTTTTAATTGCTGAATAATATTCCGTTCCATAGACACAGCACATGTTGTATTTATCCATTCATTATTAAAACTTTTGGCTTATTTCCACCTTAGGCTACCATGAAGAGCTTCTATAAACATTCATGAATAAGTGTTTTGCTGACCTGCTTTCAGTTCTAGTTTTGGTGTTTTGTTTTGTCGTTGTTATTTTGTTTTTGCTGGTCATGGGGCTTGAACTCAGGGCTTCAGTGCTATCTCTGAGCTTCTTTGTACTCAAAACTAGCGTTCTACCACTTCTAGCTTTTTCTAGTAGATAAGAGTCTCAAGGACTTTCCTGCCTTGGCTGGCTTTGAACCACAATCCTCAGGTCTCAGCTTCTTGAGTAGCTAGAATTACAAGCATGAGCCACTGGCACCCAGCTTTAATTCTTTTTTTTTTTTTAGTTTCACTGTGATATTTTCATGCATGCATATAATATACATTGTGTACACACCTCCTTGCCCCCTCTTGTCTCAACCCCTGTCCTATATTTTGCTTAACGTGATGATTTCCAATTTCATCCATTTTTCTGCTTTGCTCTTATTTATGATTATTATTATTGTTAATTGTACAAAGGAGTTACAATTCCATAGTTCAGTTTATGTGTACAATGGTTGGTCAGTGTCACCCCTTCCTTTGTTCCCCACTGTTTCCCCCTCCCATCCCTACAATCAAGTTATATAGTTCATTTTTAACATAATATATGTTGAATATAATGACTACATTTGCTCATTCTTTTCCCTTCTATTCCTGTGCCACACTTCCATCTATTTTTTTACAAGTCACATGATTTTTGTTTTTCTTTATGATTAAATAATACTCCAATGTGTACATCTTTCACATTTTCTTTATTCATCTGTTGACAGACACAGAGGCTGATTTCATCACCTGGCTATTGTGAATAGTGCTGTAGTGAACATGAGTGGGCAGGTAAGTCTATTATTTGCTGACTTTGATTTCTTTGGGTATATACGTTGGAGTAGTATAGCAGGATTATATGGTAGTTCTATTTTTTGTTTGTTTATTTTTGTTGGTCGTGCAGCTTGAACTCTGGGCCTAGACACTGTCCCTGAGTTCGTTATCTCAAAGCAAGTGCTCTCCCACTTGAGCCACAGCACCACTTCTGGTTTTTTTTTCTGGTGGTTAATTGGAGATAAGAATCTCAAGGACTTTCTTGCCTGGGCTGGTTTGAACCGAGATCCTCAGATCTCAGCCTTCTGAGTAGCTAGGATTATGGCCTGAGCCACCAGCTCCGGGCTTATTTTTTGTTTCTTGAAGAACTTCCATATTGATTTCCATAGTGGCTATACTAATTTACTAATTTGCACCAAAAGTTTATATGTTCTTTTTCTACACCCTTCTCATAATTTCTTTCCATCATTTGTTGTTTATTTTATTATCTTTAAGTAGTTGTACAAAGGACTTGCCATTCAGTAAAGCAGTTATGAATAAATGCTTCTTGTTCAGTGTCATCCCTTTCAAGATTCATATTGTTTATTTTTTTTGATGATTGACATTCTGATTTGGTTAAAATAGAATCCTTGCCTTTTCCTGACAGCTCAAGATGTTGAACGTTTTTTTATGTACTTATGATCCATTGGAACTTCTTTTGAAAGCTGTTCAGTTCATTTGCCCATTTATTGCTTGGACTATTTGTTCTTTGGGTATTACATTTATATTTATATATATTCATATACATTCACCATGTCAAATGAATAGTTAGAAAAGATTTTCTAGCATTCTTTAGCCTTTTTCACTCTGTTAATTGTTTCCTTTGCTGCACAGCTTTGAAATTTGGTGCTAACTTATTTATTAATCCTTCTTCTTATTTCTTGAAGTTATTTCTACAAGTTATTTTTTGGGACCAACAGTTCTGTGTAGCCAATAAAGTTCTCATTTGACATCGAAAAACCTGTTTAGTTACAGCACTCTGAAGTAGAAAGTCAGGAAACCTAAGAGGCTAGTTAAGGGATTAACAAAAACAATTATCTTTCAAGCCCCTAGTACCTTATTAGCAGCAATTTGGGTGTGATATAGATGGAAGGAAAGAACAAAATATGGCTCCTACATATAACTTACTCAGTTCACTGGAGAGACGTGATTGGGCAAAGGGATTTTGGTCAAAAGCCACAGTCAGCACTATACAGTGAAGGGTTAGCTGCTATGCAGCAAGATGAGGGGCATCATCTAAGATTTGCATGTAACCGGGCCTACCATTTTGTTAGGTGATGAGTCCTTAAGAGAAGAAAAAGATTGTTTTCTCACAGCCACTAGCAGTTGGCTATGGCTGAAAAGAACATTACCAGTGATCTTTGTCGGTAACAATTTTACAAGTTGATTTTTTTAAATAAAAAAAGAGGGAAATACTTGTCTCTATAAAGAAACAGTTAAAATTTTCAGAAATCCCCCTTCAATCACTACTCAAAGAAAAGCAATCAAGCAAGAAAATTAGTCTCTCTAATGTGATTCTTCACTGCTGTGCAACTCCACATGTGGAATTTTTGTTACAACTAGAACCAACTTTTGCTTGAGATCCTATCACTAGAGTCTTAGTGGAAAGCCTTTCCCTCTACCCTGGCATTAAAGTATATCAGACAGTCTGTTCCATTGGAACAAAAGAGTTTCTGGATTTGGCACTTTCTCCTCTGTGGGTTTGAAATTACACACAGCCCTGCCAAAGGTAAGGCATTTCTAGGATTGCTTTTTTATTATTATAGTTCTGGATGTTTTGTTGTTTTTTTTATCTGTGTCTTCTTTTTTTTTTTTTTTTTTTCCTCTCGCCCTAGTCCCTCTCCCTCTTGTGGTATATATTTGTGGCCTACAGCAATCACTTTAGACTTTTTAGACAGGTCCGGATAGAGATAAGATGACACAAGTGATCTACTTATCTTCCTTTCCCATCACCAATAAAAGTGACAACCCGCCTAATTAGGCCTAATAAAGCCACAGCAGCCAGAGTGGCGCAGCAGCGATCTGAAGAGAGATGGCATTGACCCGGAGACACAGGTGCTGCCTTAAGGCGTTGCTGCTATTACTTTATCTCAGCCACATTACATCTCTGCTCATGCCATATTCAAATGCAAGTAGCATGTTTTTCTCCTCAATTCTTAGATCAAGAACAAAAAAAAATCCCATCTAATCAAAAAAGGCACTGACAATTTTTTCAGCCCTGCATTAAAAGCAGAGTCATTTGGAATAGTGCACTTCATATTCTATTTTATAATATCACTTTAAGCTATTGCTTTGAATCTCAGACATTTCTTTGTTAAGAAGGAAAATCAAAAATTCATCAGAAGAACTTCTTTGGTCCCCCCTCTCGTTTTTCTTTCTTTTCTTTTTTTTTTTTTTCCTTTTTCTTCCAGGGCTAGCATGGGGTTTGGAGCTGGAGCCAACATTTGTAGAAGTTAGGGGTCCTTAAGCAATTATTAGCGATGAGAGTTTGACATATGTGAGAGTTGTCAACAACTGACTTTAAACAAAATGTAAGGGAAGGGGAATAAACAGTGCTCTCAGCAAAATTAATATACAGGTCTGCAAATTAAGGAAACAAGGGGGGGGGGAAAGCTGAACTTTGCATGAAACGGCATTTTAAGTACATCTTTGCAAAAATTATCAGAATGTCAAAGGACATCAAAGTGAATTGAGTCTGCAACTATTCATAATATTTCCACATAAGCTAAATACAAAATTTATCTTACTTTAGTCGTCTGTTCGGTAGCAATTATTTAAAGCTACTAAAAGAGGGGAAATGCCCTTGATCTGAAGTACTAGTGCCAATGTCAGTGCTGTTCCATGGTATTTATTGTAAGAACCATAATCCCCCAACCTTGCCCTCATTCGAACACACACACACACACACACACACACACACACACACACACACACACACACACACACATTCTCCTCTACTTACCACCAGTCAAATGCTACTTAGCGCTCTCTATATTCTATCTCACTTTCTTTAAACTTATTGCTGCAAATAATTTCCTCATCCACATGGTTTCCATTACTGCGTGTGTATATGTGTATGCTTAACCACTTCTTTTCTGTGTTTGAGATGATCTTGCTACCCTTGCCCAAACTGCACCCTCTGAAAATACTCCTCCTTTCCAACTCTGATCCTCACTTCCCACCCCCACCTCTGGACAGGAAGTAGTTACAGTTCCCTTATTGCCAATTATTAGCCACTCCCAACTTCCTCTCCCTCCATTGTGCTTTCCATGATAAATGATCTGAGGAACAGTCATAACCACCAGGTAACATATGATGTGCATGATGGCTTATATGTTGTTCATAGTGTCAGTTCTACTGCTGAAATGACTTGATTCAATACATGTTTTTTTTTGTGTTTTGTCCAATAAGGCAAAGTAGAGAAGTAAATTTGTGTGTGGCTACACAGCCCGTAAGTGGCAGAATTGGAATCATGCTATTATAACAAATATATTTTTAAACTTTTTGAAGTAAAGCAGGAAGGGCCTTTGGAGTTAGTGGCCATGTTGTCTTACTTCATCATGGATATCTTCACAGTTGCATCCCCTCACCTCCTCTCCTGGAATACTCAGATATTATGTTAGTCATTTTACATTTCTAGTTTTCTTGGCAATCCATCACAAACCCAGTCCCTATTTCCTTTCGCACAGAATTTCTGGCTCTGCCTCATCAGTTGGGTCACACTGGGAGATTCATCCTTTCTGAGCCACAGTTCCTTATCCCACCAAGTGGGATTTCTGAAGCCCGCCTTAAGGGCTCCTAGTTGGAGTCAGAGTAGATACATGACTAGCGCTTGGCATCTTACCTGTCATCTCCAAGGTCCACTAGTCACAATTGCCTCTGTTCTTGCTATTCGTTTTAGTCATGTATCTTTCAATTCCATCAAAGTTTATTCTAAGATGTCTCCTGAGAGGTCAAGTGTCAAATCAGTAGGAGATAGGACTTAGACTTTCACAGACCCACCTTGTATTTCTGAGGTTGTCATTTATTCCCTGTGACATTGGACTAATCACTCATTTCTCTTGCCCTTTGTTTTGTTATTGGTAACATGGGGCTGATACCCCCTCATCCCCACTGGCTGCTCGGTGTTTGTGAAAGTTTGAATGAGATAAAAGAAGAGAGAGAGGGAGAGAGTTCCTAGTACTGTGTATACCTGATGTACTTAACAAGTACATGAGGTGAAGGAACTATAAGAGGCCAGACATCTGCTAAGAGATATATGTATATCCTGTGGTGTGACTACCTCAACAACCCTGTGAGGTCACAAGTGGAATCTCAGAGTTTCAGATCATGTATAATATAAGATACAGAGAGATGGTAGTTACTAAAGAGCTGAGGTCCAGAGCTGTCTAGTACTAGGAGTCAGTGACACACCATTGGAATTGGTGCCATCAGAAAGGCAGGAACTTTCTGGAAGATGCAATTTCTTACTGTATAAAGAATGCAAGGCTATTCAATGTGTGGAGACTCAATTAGTCAACAGATTTTCCTATTGTTAGAGCCTTAAAATAGATCTTGAGAGAAAGAGAGGCTTAATCAGTATACTTACCTTGCAAGGTAGAAAGCTCTGTTAAGTCTAATTGATGCAAGGAAGATGTTGCAAAGAATTTATCTTATAAATTATCTTAAAAGAGAGGTGATTTAAAGTCTTCATCTTAGATGAACACTTAGATCTTGGCAAGTGACCAATACAATGGTTTAGAAGTCTATAATTGTTGATTAGTGATCTGCTGTTTACCGCCATATTAAATAGAAATGGCCATGTGTATTAATAGTTTGCTTGAAGACATCTTTGACAAAAGAAGCAATATCTATCATTTGTAATTTTTCTTGTTCTAAAGAAAGCAGTTATGTTCTATAGATATAGTTAGAAGTTATTTTATACTAAAAAAAGAAAGGCAGAAACGACATGAAAGATGATCATAGGAAACGAGGAAGTGTAGGTAGGTATTAGCAACAGAGAGGAAGAGTGACTGTGCCCTCATAGCAGGCAGAGCAGTCAATGAGTGGCCCAAAGCAGGACAGCTCAGTGTCAGTTTAAGGAAACTTCCAGATCATCCAAGAGTAATGAGACCTTGGAAATGAGGTACTAGGGTGGGGCAGTACTGGCTGATGTTGAATTATACCACGAGTCCACACACATCTCTGTTTAGGACTCTGCATCTTGGGGCCTACACAGGACTCTTAGCACATGTGTTCTGTGTTCTAGCTCAAGGCAATCACTTTGGACTTAAGGACACCTGGGTTTAGAGTCAGCTCTGCCACTTACTGCTTGACTAGACCTTTATTGAGATGATAATTTCACCTGCCTCTTAGGCATCAACAAGCTAGGTGCAGGTGGCTCACACTTGTAAGTCTAGCTTTGTGGAACGCTGAGATTTTCAAGACCAGCGTAGGTAGAAAAGTTCATGAGACTCCTTCTTAACCCATAGCTAGTTACGGTGGTGTGTACTTGTCATTCTAAGCTATGTAGGAGGTTGAGATAGACACAATGATGAATCCAAACAGTTTGGTAAGAAAAAATCCACAAGATAATGCTGCAATAAACATAGTTGTGCTGGTAGCTTTAGTATGGTCTTGTTTGTGATCATTCGGGTAAATGCCCAAAAGTGGGATTTCTGGGTCATAGGGGAGCTCTATGTGAAGTTTTTTGAGGAACCTCCATAGCTAAGATATGGAACCAACCCAGATGCCCCTCAGTAGATGAATGGATCAAGAAAATGTGGTATTCAATGGAATTCTATGTCTCCATCAGAAAGAATGACATTGCCCCATGTTAGGAAATGGAAAGACAGAAAAAATTATATTAAGTGAAGTAAGCCAGGCCCACAGAAACATAGGTCCCATGGTTTCCCTTATTTGCAATAACTGTATATGTCTGAGACAAGCAGAAAAGGTCAGATAAGATGATGTTAGGCTAAATGAACCCCAAGATAAGGACACAAGTGGTTTTTTCTTTCTTGCTATTGTTTCTAGCATTTTATAAGGTGATTGTTTTGTTGCTTTGTATGTCCCTCTCCCACAGTATAATCCTTGTTTTCACTGTATTTGATGTTGGTATAATTTGGGGGGGAAAAAACAAATTGTTTAAATAGGGATGCAGGAGGACCCATTGCAACAAAGAGCTGTACAAAATGCTATGTGAAAAATGAACTTTACAACTTTGGCAGGGAGGGGTGGGGAGGGAGGTGACGGGGGTAGGGTGGGGGGGAGTATAGTTGTGGAGATGGGAGGGCAGGGATGATAGGGGAAAAACAAAGGAGGAGGCAACAATGATTGATAAGAAATGTACTTATCTTTTTTTAAAATTTAATTTAATTTTATTTGTGAACATACTGTACAGAGGGGTTACAATTACATGGGCAGGATAATGCGTACATTTCTTACCAAGCATTGCAGCCTCCTCCTTTGGTTTACCCTTCACATCCCTTCCCAGCCTCCCCCCTCCCCCCCAAACCCAATCCTTCTCCTTCCCCCCCCCCCCCCCCCAGAAATGTACTTATCTTGCTCATGTAATTATAACCCCTCTGTATGGTATTTTTACAATTAAAAAAAAACTTATTAAAAAAAAAGAAAACTCCATAAGAGTCAGTTGGGAAGCCTAAAATAGACAGATCATGGCTCAGTTGTATGCTTGGGATGGAA